AAGATTGCTCCTTGGCCCTTTTCTCACCCTACTAATCTTGGGGTGCCCTTCTCCCCAAGGTTGCTAAGCCTTTTACTTCAAGCTTATTAACATATACACTAATTAATCACTATGGCATTTCTGCGGTTGGACATCTGTTGATAAGCTGGTATAAATTGGCATATTGTGGTTACCTACCAGCAATTTAGCAGCACTTGCTTATAACAGCAGTCTGCTTTGTGACATCTTGTGTTGCAAGGTCATTTACTGGTTAGCTGCTTATGTCAAATCTTTTATGCCTTAGTTAGTTTGGCTAAGCTATTGTTTTATAGGCTTGAGGCCTGTAGGCTTACTGCCTTAATCCGTATCTGTATTTTATGCCCATATAGCTATAACAAAATAGCTGGCTACACTGCTCCCCCACAAATATCTGGCAGGATAAGTCCTCTGAAGTTCTCAATCAAATAACTACAAACACATAGCAATCCTGAAGAGGAGGTTTCTCTCTAGCTCCCTCCTGTGAAATCCAAACAGGGACTCATAGTTCTCTCTTTACCCTTTCGCCATGTGAAGAATGTTGATTCAAAGATCGGGTGCTTCTTTCTCCATGAGGCAAAGAATCCTCCTCCTGCCCTGTAATGCGCATCAAGGGCACAGCCAGTTGCTGTCTGGACAGCAGTGTCAACACTGCTTCCCCCCGCCCCCCAATCCCACGCTATCTAAATACATCTGCCCTGGAGAGGTGCCATACAATTGCAACAGATAACTATCAAAACTACAATACCCCCTTAGTAGCCAAATTTCCCATATGCTCTAAGGAAGGCACCTACACCACTAGCTGACAGTTTGTGATGTGGCAAAAATCTTCTCCAGTCCCTTAAAAGACTGGCCAATGCCACGTGCCCCAAAGGGAATGAACAGAACCAGGTAATTATCAAGTGATCCATCCCCTGTCACCCATTCCCAGCTTTTGGCAACCAGAGGCTAAGGACACCATCCCTGCCCATACTGGCTAATAGCCATTGATGGACTTATCCTCCATGAATTTATCTAGTTCTTTTTTGAACCCTGTTATAGTCTTGGCCTTCACAATATCCTCTGGCAAAGAGTTCCAAAGGTTGACTATGCGTTGTGTGAAGAAATGTTGACTTGGACTGATATATAATTCAATTAGACAGAAACTTCAATATCCAAAAAAGAAAAATAGCAAGTCATTAGTATGATTTCAAATTTTGGCATAAGAAAGAGCAAGCTCGTTATGAGTGCATTGATGCTTCTCTGCTGAGATGACTGTACGTGAGTTTCAGAATGAAATACAAAGATTAGGTGCAAGTGTCTAACACTGTAAAAGTAAAGTGAAATGTGTCTGTAGTGGAGAGAAAGGGACTACAGATATCGTAGAGATAATAACATTTTTCAGACTGTATCTCAACACCCAGAAACCAAATTCATAACAAAAAAGCATCAGTTATCTTTCACCTAATATCACAGTTGATGGACGAGCTCTAAAAGCACATGTATTGCTTCAGTTATGTGGTTATTAGGGGGTCCATTGTGTGTGTGCATGTATGTGTGTGTAAAATAAAAACTCTCTGAAGAATTTGCTGGAGCTCTGAAGTAGACTGGCTATAGTTCAGAGACATGTGACATGATTGATAAAGTATGGACAAGATGAAAGTGTTTCAAAAATGACAAGCCGTCAGACCAGATCCTCGGCTGGCATAAACCAGGATAGTGTCACTGACTTCAGTCACCCAGTTTACACCAGCTGAGACTCCGATTCACTGTTTTCTATAGTCTTTGCTTTGGCAAACTGCTAACTATAGTTGCAACAGCTGGCCAGTGATAGAAACACATCAGCAGCAGACAAACTGTGATGCTATTGGCATGTGTCCTGTACTTTAGGAATGAAGTATACCCAGCAACTGGGTGCTTTAGCAGCTGGTCAGACAAAGGATATTGTTCAGGCTTCCAGCAGCTAACTGAACATTCTGACGATACATTTTGTAAAGAAGGTGACAGTCTCAAAAAGAGGTTTCTAATTGTTGTTGAAGGGATCAGCACGTATCCAGAGCAAACGTTGTTGGAACAATATTGTGGCATACAAAAGCTGTGAGTAGGATTGGTACTATGTTGAGTAAGTAAAAAATGTGTATAGATCCTTTCATTCATACTCAAAGCTTGATTTTTAAAGAGGCTTTGATACAACCTCTTTTTTTTTGTTTCTTTTTTTCTTTTTGGTGACAAACACCAGTCATATTATTTAGGTATCTAAGTATCCAAGTGTGCCTGTAAATAAGGCACTTTAAGGGGTTGTCTACACAGGGAAATTAACGAGAATAGCTATTTCAGAATAGATCCCCATCTGGACAGCCTTTTTCTGATTTAGCCTAATCCATTGGAAAATGGATTTAAAAAATGGTATTCTGGAGTAAGAATGCCCATATGGTGAAGTATTCTAGAATAGCCATAACATTTTAAATTCTCACACTATCTTAATGCAAAATAATTTTCAAGTGTAGCGATCTAATTGTTAAGATGTGCCTGGAATTAAATGAGGTAACAAAATGTGCATTCAGCTAATTGCACACACCAAAATAAAGAGAAAATTGCTGCTGAAAATATGACACTTCAGTATTCTGTTTTCAAAACAGTTAAATATTTAGTTGAATAAAAGTACGGTAAATCTATCTATATCAGTAGTTCCTAAGCAGGCCACTTGCAGCCCAATCAACACACAGGTGCGGCCCATGTGCCATCTTGCTAAAAAAATGTAAAGTCTGCTGTGCGGATTGCCTCAGACCGGGGCCAAATGAGGGGGAGACAGCAATACGGAGCCCTGCTGGAACACTCCGCGCCCTGTCTTGGGGGATGAGCATGCTCCGGGCTGCAGCTCTCCCTGTATCCACCCAGCCCTGGACTGCCTGCAGCAGCCATCACCCACCTACCTGGAGCTCACAGCCAGAGCAGGAAGCTGCTCTGTAAGGCCCATCTCTGGGGGGAGAGCTGGTGCAGCTCAGAAATTTGTCCAGTCGCTTGGGCTTCCCAGTTAGGGTCCCCCCTGGCTCGGTGGCTGGGATCACCCCTGCTGCTGACTCTCTGGGAGCAGGCATGGAGGGACATGTGCATGACTGGGCACCCACAGCAGGCTTGCATTTTTTTTTTACCTACAGGCTTCTGGTCATTGTAATCTCATGGAATGGATTTCCATAACTGTGGGACAGACACCTATGAAGTTCAATAAATGAAGGTGGGTTTAATAATATTAAATGTTGTTTATGATTTATACAGAAAGTGTGTGTCTGTCTGTTTATCTATGATGGCCACCATCTTGAACTGGGAACTTCCAGAGCTAAAAGCATCACTGTCCAACATTAAACAGTGTTAAACAAGGTCTGGTATTTGATATACAAAGATCTCAGCCTGCTTAACACCATGGCAAACACCATTAAACATCCTTTTAACCTTTTATTAAAGATATAGAAAAGAAGGAAAAACAGTTAAAGCATTTGAAATGTAAAGTATTTTATAAGACTGTCATTTTAGCGACATCCTTTGTTCCTTTCCCTTTAGAGGAAGACAGATTTTGAAGGAAAAACTTCCTTGTGTTTGACAGTCTCTTAGATGGTATTCCAGATAGTAATAACTGTCCTTTTTGGTAAAAGCGAAGGTAGCTGAGGTAGGCTTGAGTGGTTGTTGTTGCTCTTAAAGTTTGATCTAATTTCATCCCAGGTGGTTTGGGATTCAGATGGAGCCCGTAGAGGTGATTGCCATCTGGGTCCTCTCTCTGGTCTGGTCAGGACATCTTTCAGGATTTCAATGAAGAAGGTCTGGGGTCCCAGAAGATGGTGGGGGTAGCAGCCATGATGGTGAAGCTCACTCCAATACCCAATATCTCACCTCCCCCCCCACCAAGTCTCTTTCTTTTAGGACCCACAAAGCGAATGGTGGGTGGAATATCCCAACCCCTCATTATTTTGTCCATCAGTTAGGCCTTGTTTCTAAAACACTAATTTTGGTTCACTGATTTCTGGTTCCACATTTGTTTACTAAGCATGATCTTAACACAATCCTTGAATTATATCATTAGACTTTTTTGTTTGTATTAATTGTCTCCTTTTCATACCTTTTCCCATCAACATTTTTATTATAGGTTATTGAGATATTTCATAATCCTTTTACAGTTGAGTTCAATTAGGGTACATTTATATGTCCACTTATCACAACAGACTGTAACAATGAATCCTCTGCAGATTGGGCACAGATCTCTAATGTACGCTTACTAGTTGGTTCTATGTATGTATATATAAAGCAGGGCTGGTTGCACCATGTATGATTAAGGTTGCCAAACACTTCCCATTATAGGACTCTGGCTTCAGTTGCTTATAATTTTACAAAACTTTAACTGTTTGGGCTGAAGTTGTCCACATTGGGGCATCTGCCCTAAGGCTAGGGTAAACTATTGTTGTCCCTTTTGACATGAAGAGCTAGTCAAAGTTTGGGGCCCTGTGGATGTTGCAGCTGGGAGTAGAAATCAGTGGTAGTCAGGTATTTCTTCAATATAGTTTTGTTTAGTTACAAAGCGCTGTGTTTCTGAATGCAGATGGAATCAAATACCAGGGAACAGCTTCTTTTGCTCACAGCACGAAGAACACTCTTTTCAGTCTGCACACTGACCCAAAAACTCTACTCAAGTTTCTTCCACACTTAGTCACCATGCTTTCAGCTGCTCCTTCATGCTATCTCTCTGTCTTTCTTGTCTGTTCTCAGTTTCTTTATGTTCTGTCTTCCACACATTCACACACCTACCCAAAATAATACTCAGCCAAAAGCTCCTGGGCAGGGTCACATACTCTTTTTGTTTTAGCTGGGGCTTATGCTTGCATTTATGTTAACTGAAGGGTGAGTTCACACAGTCAACCTCAATCCCATAACAAGGTTTCACACAGCTCATAACAATACGCTGTTTTACTATTTAAAAAAGAAAATTGGCAACCTTTTCCTTTGACAAGCTCTAGTGCCCCTTTGCTTTGGAGCATAGACTTGAAATTTGGCAAATTTGGATTGGTCTTTATATCAGAGATCTGCCTTTTCTCATCCCTGTGAAAATCCATCCAAATTTGCCCAAGTTATAATCTTTCACAAATTGCAGTTCACATGCGATTGGTGGAGATTTGGTAGAGTTTCTCAGCGGAATTCCCTGAAGATTTTGTCCTCACCGGGCATCCTGAAGTCCAGGGATGAGCAGACTATCCCTGAAAATTCAGGCTGAAATTACAGCTCTGGGCTACTGCAGGCCAGGCCAGGGCCAGACACTGCAGATGAGAGCAGGGAGATCTCCTTTGGTCTCAGGGATCCCTTGCTGGGCTCAGGCAGCATGGACATAGAAATCTCCTAGGAGTTGGGGGAGATTGGGATTGGCTGGACAAGGATCTGGGACTGGGAACTGTGGAGGGGAGTATGGGACTGGATGGTCAAGGAGACTGGTACTGGAAGCTGATGGGGCAATGATGGGGACTGGGAACCAGTGGGAGGGAAGACTGAGATCAGATGAGGAACACAATTATGCGGTAGAACTGTCACTGACTGGACAAAGATAAATGGGCAAGGAGCTAATGGGTTGTGGATTAATGAGAATGGCTGGGCAAGGAGAGTGGAGTGAGGCAAGGACAATGGGACTGAGAGTGTGGAGAGACATGGGCTGGGAATCTGGATGGTGTGACTAGGATATGATAGACAAGAAGACTAAGGGATGGGATGAGAAGCTATAGAGACTGGGACTGACTAGATGAGGTGAATGAGATTTGGACAAGGAGCCAGGTGTGGGGAAGAGACAAAACTGGGACACAAACAGGTTGGAAGGGACAGGGCAGAATGGTTTGAGCTTGGGGTGAATGGAGAGAAGTTTGTGCTCACAAAGCACACTTCCCTCCAGAGCCTGGAATGGAATTCAAGATTCCTTAATCTAACCACTCCTCCAGGTCAGCAAATATCTGTGAAACTCATGGTCAAAGTGTTCTATTCATTCCCCTCTAATTTTGGATCATATAGAGCAGCGGCCCATCAGGGTAATCTGCTGGTGGGCCGCAACATAGTTTGTTTACATCGACATCACATAGGCTGCAGGTTGCCCACCACTGATATTGAGGATGGCAACCTACTATTGGTATCAGTTACTCAATTAGTTGAAGTGGCAGAGATCTGTGTGGTGGATTTAAATGCTCCAGTCCTGCTGATGCCCCATGTAAATATTGATATACTTCACATTATGGAATTTCTGTCTTTTTCAGTTTACTTAAAAAAAATCCTAGGAAATTACACACATATAAAATTGGGTTAAAAGAACATTATTAAGGTTGCCAAATCACACACTCAAAAATGAGGAAATGTCAGAATTAATGTTGCCTGTGAATCTTAATTCCTCCCCGCCCCCACCTTGTGTGTATGAATTAGGATAAAGTCCTTAATTAGCTGATCATATATACTATTTTTTCCATAGGACCTCTGCCTCATTCAATTCACATGATGGATGGCAACCTTAATTCTGGCATTTCCTACTTTTTGAATGCTTGACTTTGCAACCATAATAATGTTCTTTTTATGTCATGTTGTTGTTTGTAGTATAATATAGGGAGAGGGAGAAAACATTCTGTATATGAGCCTGCAAATTGGCATACCTAATATCCTGATCTATTTCAAAACTCCTATATCCCATTTCACACACACACACACACACACACACACACTAAAAATGTAATTGAAGAAATGTAACAATATATTAGGTCCTGAAGAGGAACAAAGGGTTTGCCTATACAGCAATTAAACACCCACAGCTGGCCCATGTCAGTTCACTCGACCTGGCAGGACTTGGGCTGTAAAATTGTGGAGTAGCAGTTTGGGCTTGGGGTGGAGTCATGGTTGCTTAATTGGTGTGTAGACATACCCAAAGACTTAGTTTACCAAATCTTCAGAAATTGAATTTGGGCAGAGGCTGCAAAGCAGATGAATTACTACAGCTTTGATGATTTGACAGGTGACACAATTCTGTCAAAGACAATGCTGAACTAATGTCCCAGCATGGTGTTGGGCATGACATCTTGCTGCTAATAGTGACAGCCTTCATATAAGGTGTAAAACTCAGGTCCTGACTTATCCTCTTTTGAAAGTTTCCTTGACATTTTTCTTAACAGTAGAAGTGGTAATTTCAGTGTCTTGGCCGAATTCTAATTTGGGTAATTAGTTGTTCTTCCTGGCTAAAAAAATCTCTAAGTGGTTAAATGTGGATAAGGTAGTCAATCTTTGAGATTATTGTGCACTTTTATGGTGCACTGTTGCCATTTTTGCCTCCTGTGTTGGTTGTATTTTAGTGGTTTGTGGAAGTGATTCCTGTACACTGTCTTTTGTGAAGTACTTTTGGATAATTTGGGATTAATGACACTAGAAATATTAACTATTATTACATGTAGAAAATGGATAAAATAACAAATATGGAGGATTTCTAATCTTTTTTGAGAAACCTTAAAATATATAATCATATAAATAAATCAAATTAATTTCTTTCATTCACAGAGAGCACAAGTAGATAATAATAGTATATATTATCACCCCAAAGCAGCAAGCTAGCCTTCATTATGGCATTTCTTTGTTCTAAGAATTGCCATGTAAAATCATAATTGTTGAAAAACTGATGACAAATTTTTGATAGCAGCAACTCCTACTGACCTCACTTAAGAGAAATTTTTGTTGGAAATCTTTTGTTTGTTTGTTTCTGTTTTTTTTCTGGGCATAAAATGACTAATGGTTGTCCTAAGAAATAATGCCAAATCTGTTTAACTGAAATACAATTTCATGAAGTCACAAACAGCAAACAAAGGATGATCTCACCCACTTTATCTGTTCTACACATACTGAAAACAAGGTGAGTGGTTAGGAGAAAATATCCATGTCTGTAACATGGCACATGGGCATAACAACAAATGGTAGGTTATTGATCAGAAATAATATCTAGTTAACAAGACTTTAAAAACCACAAAGTAGTGGTTTCAGCTTTCCAGGATTTAATGAGTATTGGGAAGAGTTTACAAGCAGTTTGAAAGCAGGTGTTATGTTTCAAAACAAAACTGACTAAACATGATCACAATGACTTGCTTGATGACTCCTAGGCTCTGTCTTGTGGAGGGTGTGGGGGGAAGGGTGTGATATGATGGAAAAGCCCCGTTAAGATACATACTAACACATTGGAAGATATGTTAGCTGTCCAGGATAAAACCAAAGGCCTTCAATCA